TCGAATTAATTTGATGGCCTGCTCCCAGTTGGCTTGTTAGCTCAATTGGTAGAGCGCTGCACTAGTATCGCAGAGGTCAGTGGTTCGAATCCCGTACAGGCCTGAAATTTTTTTCAGGTCTGATTTTCACTATTGCTCAAATAGTGCTTTACTGCGAAGGATCGTTCTCATATACGTCTCATAACCGCAGTTCACACATATGTTTCATATGTTTGTTGTTGTTTGATTTATCATCTACGGGTTTATGTCGAATTAATTTGATGGCCTGCTCCCAGTTGGCTTGTTAGCTCAATTGGTAGAGCGCTGCACTAGTATCGCAGAGGTCAGTGGTTCGAATCCCGTACAGGCCTGAAATTTTTTTCAGGTCTGATTTTCACTATTGCTCAAATAGTGCTTTACTGCGAAGGATCGTGCTCATATACGTCTCATAACCGCAGTTCACACATATGTTTCATATGTTTGTTGTTGTTTGATTTATCATCTACGGGTTTATGTCGAATTAATTTGATGGCCTGCTCCCAGTTGGCTTGTTAGCTCAATTGGTAGAGCGCTGCACTAGTATCGCAGAGGTCAGTGGTTCGAATCCCGTACAGGCCTGAAATTTTTTTCAGGTCTGATTTTCACTATTGCTCAAATAGTGCTTTACTGCGAAGGATCGTGCTCATATACGTCTCATAACCGCAGTTCACACATATGTTTCATATGTTTGTTGTTGTTTGATTTATCATCTACGGGTTTATGTCGAATTAATTTGATGGCCTGCTCCCAGTTGGCTTGTTAGCTCAATTGGTAGAGCGCTGCACTAGTATCGCAGAGGTCAGTGGTTCGAATCCCGTACAGGCCTGAAATTTTTTTCAGGTCTGATTTTCACTATTGCTCAAATAGTGCTTTACTGCGAAGGATCGTGCTCATATATGAGTAGTATTTGTTATCCAACTGTGGGTCTTTGTCACTAGGAGTATTGCAAGATTGTTTGGTTTTATCAACTGAGTTGACAAATGTAAATTGGCCATTGTAAAGAGATTTTTGATGTTGACATTTCGAGCATTAGCCCTTCTTCAGAGTATATGAAGGGCTAATTGCTCAAAGTGCCAGTATTGTTTGGTGGCCAATTTAAAAACAAAATAAACCAAATTATATTGTATTTTGTCATTGTTTGTTTTGATAATTACAATAAACATATCTTGTTATTTCAACTTGATTACGTCAAAGCTGTGTTTCCTACTCTAGCAATTACATTTTACGGTAATATCCTGAAGTGAACTAGTCCTTGATAGATACAGCTGCACAGATTTGACGATTTTATGTTAACTTTTACAATTACTGATAAGTCGCCTAAAATACTCACAATATTGCCACTTATTTCCTGTAATATCATGTAAGTGTACAAGTTATGGGTACATACCCTGGCCTCGATGTATTCAACTCTCTGTTCTAATGATGTCAGTTGTTCATTTATTTTTGCTAATCTTGATCTACATGACATGTCTGGGTGATATACAGAGACAAGAAAGACAGGTTAGTCACTACATTCTCAAACACACCAATAAAAATATTACGATACATGCACACTTTGCAAGGGCAAGCCTCGTAAGCTTAGTATATTTCCTTACTTCTAGAAAATATTACAAATCCTATCTATGCATTTATGAGCACATCGAGCACTTAAAACAAGGCTTATCCAGGGAAGACCGTATACCCAATATTGACAGAACCAAGGAAGTTTGCCAGCTCAGATCTAACACCACAAAATATTTCCTTTACCAAAGTCGTTGAGAAACTCGGCGATCTTTTTAATTCCGTCCGATACGACTTCTATGAATTCTCTGTTCTCCCAATCCTGTTGTATTTGTTGCTGCACTTCGCTGCTCATGGTGAATTTTTCTCTTCTTTTCCCCAGAATTTTTCCTACTGACGAAGAAGGCCGAGCCCATCAATTTGTCAGCGGAAGTATATTTTTATTATTAACATATGCGCCATTCAAATTCAGCGCCAGTCCTCTTCCCAAGTATGACTGTCTGGTCGAAAAAATCGAAGTTCCCGCTTTTATCGTGTATTTCTTCATAAGAAAAGCTGGAGGATTGAAGAGGTCAGTGTTATAAATCTTAGAATAAGCTTCTATGTAAATGATCGTTCTTTCACACTGATCTCTGAACCCTTTTCGGAGTGGAATGACGAATTTATCGAGTGGTGATGCCAGTTTTCATATGGGGGATGGCTTTGACCATCCTTTTTTTTTTCTTAATAAACTTTGGTCTAAGCTAACACCAGGACTGTTACGGAGTTGAAAATGTTATGTGTCTTTCTTTTTAAGGGCAGCCGAATTTTCCTCCAGACAGTTCATCGATCTTAATTAGTCAAGTTCGGGTCGTAGTTTATTTGGCAAAAGAACGATCGTCCCCCTGGTCACCCCTCCCGCTTTTATTATTACTCCCCTTAGAAGGAAAATGTCAGAGTGCTGATGCTTTTGTCATCAGAAAAACTGTTTTCCCGCGTTCAGATAAGGCCAAATTCTTCTAGAAGCCCGACCAGGAAAGTCTAAATGATCAAAAGTGTTAATGTGCCTACCACTTGGATGAAATAGATCTAGACCTCTTCAGAGAGAGGCAGGGATAATGTAGTCACCCTCGCAGCCGTTTTTGTTTGGATGTCACGGGGAGCGTTGCGTGACATCCAAAAAAAAAAAACGGCTGCGAGGGAGACTAGGGATAATGGGTAGCTCTCTGCAAGTATTGAATGGAATGAGCCTTAAAGGGAAGGTCATCTCATGGGATAACCCCATGAATAGCTATGATGATGAATTAGTGAAATGAGAAAAGGTGTTTCTTAATTTGATATACTTTACTGGATAATCAGTCCTCTAAATTTGAGTGGTTCAACTTATTGCTTCGGTGGTGGTTAAGTTTTAAAGGTGTAAAACGTTTTCTTGGTTTGTAGGGAAATCTCTCTAATTGTCTTTTTTATCAGAAGTTAAAACTGAAAAAATAAAACACCTCCATTTTAGGAATAAGTTACCCCTAATGTGAACTTTATTTAAGCTCAGCTCTGGTTTTGCAGAGAGGGAATGGGCTAGATATTGATGTGTCTTTGAATATACAGCCGTGTGTGGTGTGGAAGGGTGTGGCTTTTGGGGCTGATTTGAGATTTAACCTTTTAGATCTGAAATCTGACAAGTTTTGTACACTTGCTGCAGCTACAGAAGAATATCTTTTTGCAGCCGCAACTTTCTTGTATTGTTTTAGGTCTGAAAAAAAAGAGGAGAAAATCTCCCATTTTGGTCTAAAATATGACAAAGTTTCATGCTGGGCAATCCATCAAAATTTTCTACAATTTTAAAACCCTCCTGTAGTGTCACAGTAATAGACAATTCCCTTACACCTTAGTCTTCCTCACCCTCTTCTCTCCTGAAGCATGTGCCATTAAGAGAGCTTCTCTAGCCATTTATTTATACACAATAACTGAATACATTTTATCACATACAATGAACTTTTGAAGGTCATCCTGTTTAACCAATAAACTTAACAGTACACAAATTCCTTTTTATAGATTTTTCTCTCTGTATTTCTTCAGAAAACAGGCAACTTTATGTTCTTTCCTGTTTATTCCCATCAGTTGTTTTTATTTGCTTGTCTCTCAAGAACTTTCCATAACCATTTATGTCCCAACTTCAATGTGCATATTCTCCGTACTGTCCTCTTTGTACTTTCTAGGGCACTGACCACGAGAATTTGTTTAACAATCAAGAATTTCTTAAGTTGGAGATCATTTTCTTTATTCTCATGACCTTAATATGTGATTCAGCGGTGATATTGTCAGGAGAAGTTAGATGCTGGTCACTCTTTGGGTGTTGGAGCTTGCAACTCAAGCAATATGCCAAACACAAGGTCTTGTTATGGCTGTAAGGGACAGTAAAAACTATTGTCATTCACTACTCAAGCTGATGCTTGAGAAACTGTAAAAGTGCTGATATGTAGACAGGGGCGTAGCCAGGATTTTTCAAAGGGGGGGTGGGGTCACAAAGGCTACTCACCATTTACACTGCTGCTCTCCCGTGTATATCAGCGGGCTCAGTCGTATTATCGCGGCATGAAGACTCATATCAATGGCTTTTTCGGCCAAGATATTGTCATGGCGTTTTCGCCACCTGAATATTGTAGGTTGTTTGCTCTAAAGAAGGCCTAGCAAGGGGAACGGGCACCCAAGGACCCCTCCTGGCTACGCCCTTGATAGATCAACCCGCAGTGTATTGTGTGTCATGGTTGCCAAGGAGATCTCACAGAAAGGATTGAGATCTGAAAAATATTTTCCTGGTGATGAAAAGAACTTTCAAAGTTTATTCTCAAGCATCACAGACAGAGCTATATGCAAACGGCCATCCAATTGCATCACAAGCGTGTGCAAATGTCGCACATTTTCCGACAGAGATGCATAAAAGCCTTTTAAAAGTGTTCTTGCTCTTTTTTAATTCGTGTTTAAATTCCTCAAGTAGCACTATGAATTATTGACATCAGTTATAACTAGCTGCGTGTTCAGTCAGATATTTGCGAGACTCTTGACTAAAAAATATAAAACAGGAAATGGTAATGCAAAAGTCAGTTATTTTGGGGAAAAAACTACGGAATCCGCCTCATAGAAATGAGAGCTGAAATGAGTGTTGAGCAGTGTTCAGTCAGATATTTGCGAGACTCTTGACTAAAAAAAAACAGGAAATGATAATGCAAAAATTAGTTATTTTGGGAAAAAAATTACGGAATACGCTATAAAGAAATGAGAGATGAAATGAGTTTTAAGCAGTTATTCTGGTTTTCGATCTAAACTTTCTTGGAATGGACTCAGTTTCTTAGGTGTGTTTGTTTTCAGTTTCATAGCAATAACGGAAACGATGGATCCTCAAAACTCCGTTCCGGTAGTAAAACGATAGCTTTTGTGGACATTCATTAATGTTCTTCGTCGAGAGAGAGCATTCGAGAGAAAAAGCTTTTGACATTTTTTCGCGAGATAAAAATGATCCTCTTTCTCCGTGAATTATGTGTTCGCCAGTAGCTTGGAATGATAATTTTCAGTAAACTTGGCCAATATCCAAGGATCTTTACCGAACAATCTTCGTCATGAGCGGCGCTTTTATCACTTAAAGATAGAATCCCCTAAGAAACCCCTGGTGTGAAATTGTTTTTCACGCAAGAGAACATTGTTATCGAAGTTGTCAATATCTGACTAAGAAATGTCTCAGAACACTATAGCTCAAGACTCATATTTTAGGAGAAGTAGCCTTTGGTTAGTTTATAATTCTTTGTGGTTAGTCAGAACTTAACTCTGGTCTGAGTTACCGGACGTTTTGAGCCAAAACCGCCCCCAGTTTTCGGGTTACTACGTCCATTAAATATTGCTTTCCCTAAAAAGACCCCTTGTTTCGATCCAAAAGTTTGATAATTTTATTTTATAGCCTCAAAACCAATTTTTTTTTATGTCGCTATCTTCAAAACAGAAATCGGTCACCTTTCAAAGATTTAAATTAGCAGTAGTTCGCGGAAGAAAATTTCCGCTTCACTGAGTAAACGCTACTCAGGAATTCGAAGTAAACCGATTCTAGACATTTTCCTTTTTTCTAATTTATCTTAATTTCTTTTTGATAATTGCGTAATGTCTTTGAAAATGTAAAATCATACAGTTGTTGAAAGTCTGCCTTCTCGAAACTAGGTGGAGTAATATGTGCGATCAGTTAAAACTTCATTGGTCCGTAGTTTGTAAACACTTACATATGCAAATTAGAAAACTGTGCTAAATTCAGTTCTTTCAGTGAGAGAGTAAGTACTTGAGGATCGATCGAGCGGCGAAGATTGGATGATAGTTTACATTTTTGAACCCCTTCACGAGGAAAAATCTTCACATTCGCCCGAGGGCTATTCCATCGAGCGCTAAATGGCGATGATACAGCAGAGCACCTCAGTGGTCCGGGAATTTTTCGCTGTGTGCGTGATCTTGTTATCGTCGATTGTTGCAGCTAAGAGATGCGACAAGCAGATCGATAGTTTCGTGTGGAGCAACTGCATGGAATGTTCGGTAAATGCCTTTCTTCAACGTCCATGCCCGTCTGGTTACCAGCAAGTTACCAGTGGGGAAGGCGAACAAAGCTGTTCGTATTCCGTTTATTTTGGATTTAACTTCGGTTCCATGCGTGTCCCTGGATGCCAGCATAATTGCACAAGGAAGATTACACAAAAAGAATGTTGTGTCGGCTTCTGGGGACAAGACTGCCAAGGTATTTTAATCATAAAAATGTTGCTTGCGTTAACTCAATGTAAATGAGTGCGCACAACACTTGACATTTTTTCTCCCATTTAAAAATTAAACCCAACTGGAAATATAAACATTTGGATCATCAAACAGTTTGCTTTTTCATCGAGGCTTACTGGGCAATTCGTCTCACTGCTAATATATATATTGTTTCATTCGATAATTTAACGTGGAGTTAAAGCTGGACATAGAAATGTAGTTGTCGTAACTTAGGAATTTCTAATTGCGTGAATTTGGCGCCACGAACTTAGAAGTCATCATGTTACAAAATTTCGCGGGAATGTGGCAAGGGCTTTTTAGCTTATTTATTTTTTTGGCAATTGGGTTATCATGAAGCGCCCAAAAAGCCAATAAAATTATATCAGCTGGTGAAAGATGACGAATCGAATTAAATGAAATTGACCAATAAGGAGAAACTCGTCCGCTTTCGCTTCTAATTGCGACAGAATGTTTTATAAAGGTAATGTATTAAAATAACATGTAAAATTAATTTACTTACAAATGTAAGTAAACTGCAGAGATGCGTCCTGTATTTAGTGTAACAAATTAGCTCACAAGCAGATAGAAAGCCTAAATAAATCTTAATCACAAAGATTCTAATCGCAAAGCAAGACAGCTCGCTCGTCCACGTTTAATGAATTTTTAAAATGTTGAAAATGAAAATTCTTGCAGCACATGGCTACTGTATGCAGATCATATGACAGTGTGCGGCGCATTTTCCAAAGTCCAGCTCACAATATTGAAGTACACTATCGTAGCTTGGTTAATATATAGCATCCTATTTCAACCACTCACGTTTACAAAATAAAAGTTAGATGTTGCAGTGAAATCTCCAATTTACAGAGAGTAGATTTTCTTTTCAATGTGGAGATTTAGAGGGCTAAGTGTAAATAATTTGCGACACTCAGATTTCGAGACGAGGAAACAAAAATACTCTCAGCGGGGGCAGAAGGGACGTACAACTGAAGAGTTCAACTTACGTCAAGAACTTTATTGCCATGTCGTAATTTTTCTTTCTCGTACAAGGTAAATCGCCTTATGGCCTTGAAAACCTTACAGCTTGGGGATTGTTTATTCAACATTTTGATGGTTTTTGATGGTGGTACTCGGCGCGGTCGGCTGAAATTTTCTGTTTTGGTTGTGAGAGAAAGTTTAATTTTTTTTCCTGACTTACACTGACCTATTATTTTGGAGTGCAATGCCGTAATACTACCTCCTCAAATAAGTGCAAAAACGAGAAAAAATTTTAAGATTGTGTAAGAAAGGCAAAAACAACAACAAAAAAAAACTATCCAAACAAATTCATATGTAGTACTGTCATACCACAAATATTCTTGAAGTGATACACAACTGCATTTGAATGAAAATATTGTCAGGTGCGTGTGTCATATCAGTGATAAAGCAGAAGGAAGCAATGTAAAACTGTTTTAAAACTGAAATACACCCTTACATAAAGCTACTGACTATTCACAAATCCTCAACTCTTTGAACCCAAGAGATGACTAGCATCTAATTTCTCCTAACAATATCCCCCCTGAATCACACATTAAGGTCAGGAGAATAAAGGAAATGATCACCAACCAAAGAAGCTCTTGATTGTTAAACAAATTCTCCTTGTCAGCACCTCAGGAAATGTGTAGAGAACAGTACGGAGAATATGCAATCTGAGTTTAGGGTGTAAAGGATTAATTTTAAGAGGAATCATTAAGATCTGGTGCATGCTGTTTAACAAACAATGATGCATTAAAATCTGTTCATGTCAAATGAGAGCACATGAAATAGAAAAAACCCTACTAACTCATGAAAAAGCCTCGTGAGGATGTCTATAAATCTGATCGAAAATATTAATGACCTGTGTATAATATTGGTTGTCTGTATAGGTTATATTTGCCATTGTACCAGTCTGTAACATGCTCTTAATTTGTTATTCTACATCTACTTCTAATCCTTTAAGCAAGGACTGCCTTATCAAACATCTTTATTGTTTACATCACTTTGAGCTGTAACATGTTTATGAAAATGAAAAATGTACTTTAGAACAACTTTTGTCATGCACAATTGTCATGTATGTTGGCTTGAATGTGAAGCTCGCAACTGTAAAGTGGAGTCTTGTTTTGTGATGTGATCCATTTCCTTCTCTTTGTACAGCATGTCCTGTTGTGCCTGCATGCAGTGGGCGTGGCTCTTGTAATGACAAAGTGGGTGGTGATGGAACATGCACTTGTCAGGTGAGATTACAAATCATGATAAAGTACTCTGGCAATAAGTGGTTGCAGATCTCTGAGCCAGGTAATGAATCTGAAAGAGATTTGCATCGATATATATTATGTATATATAATTTATATAATTATAAGTTAAACATTTTCAATTATGTGTAGTTTTGCTTTTGTACTGAACCGCTTAGGAATGTTGATCATTTAATGCTTGATGTCACTTTCAGCAGGACTGACATCTTTAAGAATTCTTTTTTCCGTTGGGATTTTTTGACTGTGGAATGAATTACCTCTTAGCATAAGAGAGTCAAATACCTTGTCAATCTATCATAAGAATTTGATGGCCTTTTCTTATGATAAGTTTATAATGTAGATTTTTTCTAATGTTAAAATAATTGTATTTTTTTTAATGATATTTTTTTTTGAAATTTATTACTCAATTATTTCTCTTGATATAAGTTTGATGTGCTAATAGGTACCTTAATTTTAAAGAAGTCTTGTACTCTGTTTTAAGCCTACCTCAGACTGAGTGATTGATTGATTTAATCATCTTTGTGATTATAAAAAATTTGAAATTTGAGTAAATTAATGAAAAAACAGCTTAATATTATAAAGAGTAGCCTATATATATATATATACTAGAGAGATATAAACAAATTAAAGCAGTATTAGTAACGTAATTCCATTCACTTCATCTGGGAATTGTCATTGCTTATATTTTATTATGCCCACAATTTGTCGTTGATTAGTTTTTATCCTACTTTCATTTAAGGATGGCTATAAGGGATTTGCATGTGAGCTGTGTTGGGATTCAAACAAATTTGGTACCTACTGCAATAAAAGTAAGTATTACAGTATTGTGTTTTCACTCTAGGATATTTGAGAGGATCCAAAACTCTAGAGTATGATATTACTTTTGGCTATTTATCCGTAATAAAGGTGCCTCTCTTTTGTCACTAAATACCTTTATTTACCCTCGGCAGTATTTCTCGCTCACAAATGTTAGTGGGGCCGAGCAAACAACTGAAACAATTAATTCAAATTAAACATAACATTATTAAGAATCCCAACTGGCCAAAGGCAAACCAGTTGCCTATTTACAAGCATAGCTGAGGATTTGAACTCGGAGCTATCCATGAAACAAATCCAGGTAGTGGTCAGGACGGGACTTGAATCTGGGAGTGGTGGATTGCAAGTCCGACATGCTGACCACTCAACCACGTTTATACCTTATTTTGATGTCATCTGTGCTGTATTACTGACAGTAGCTAAACAAACCCATGGCAACATGGAATATATGATTTTATTAAAAACTGGATCATTGGATAATAATGCAATTCAAGACTTTTTATTGGCTTAGCCATTATGGCATATCAGCCAATATACAATAATCTAATGTCTGTACATCGTAACATCCGGTCTCTTCTCATGAAATAAAGTCGAGAAGATTTGTTTAATATCTTGGGGGGCGTTTTTTTTTTAATAAAACAATTATTCCACTCGCGCTTGTTGGAGATTTCTCATCAAGCATGCTATTTATTTTAGCCTGTCTTTGCAAACATGGGACATGTGACAGTGGATTGAATGGTACAGGACACTGCAAACCAGGCTCTTGTGTCTTAGGATATGCTGGGTCAAACTGTGATAATAGTAAGTATAGTGGCTAACCTGTGACTATGCAAATACAATTCCTTTCAGTGGAATCTATGTTAGGTTTAATTCACTCCTCCTTACAGTTATATATATTTTTTTGTTGTTAGCTTTGCCAAGATGTGACCGAAATCTTACCTGTGGAGCTAATGCCAACTGCTTCAGAGTTGAAAATATTGACACTTGTGTATGTAATCCAGGATATAGGAATGTTAGTGGTGTTTGCAAAGGTGAGGGTTTTTGGTATGCATTATTTTTTCCAGTTGAGAAAGGTTTGTAGGGTTAAAGAGGAAAATTTGAGAACTTTATCTTTGAATTTGTGTATGTAAACCAGGATATGGGAATGTTAGAAAGGGCAAGAGATTGAGACAAATGAGAGGAGGTATTTCTTTAGAAAGTGAGAGTTTATAATGAGTCACTTGGCTTGTATTAGGCTGTTTTTCTTGCTTTTTCCCCCTCTAATAAGCCACCCCCCTCTAATGAGCCACCCCCTCTAATAAGCCACCCCCATCTAATAAGCCACCCCCCTCTAATAAGCCACCCCCCTCTAATAAGCCACCCCCCTCTAATAAGCCACCCCCCTCTAATAAGCCACCCCCCTCTAATAAGCCACCCCCCTCTAATAAGCCACCCCCCTCTAATAAGCCACCCCCCTCTAATAAGCCACCCCCCTCTAATAAGCCACCCCCCTCTAATAAGCCACCCCCCTCTAATAAGCCATCCCCCTCTAATAAGCCACCTCCCTCTAATAAGCCACCG